GTGTCGACACTGGTGTTGCAGGTGGACTAGGTTTTGGGGACGCGGTCTTATGGGCTTTTGGCACAGGACGATCGGGTCTAGGGGGAACCACAACAGGAGGTTGTTTAGCAGGAGGCTTAACTTTATTATGTTTTTGCTTCTGCTTTTCCGATTGATGGTATGCCTCTAGTGCTTGGCGATGTTTGCGATCGGCAAGTGACTCTACGTGTCTTTCCCAATCTCGGTCCTGTCGTTCTTTTGAACGTGCCCAGGCCGCGTTGAGTTCCTCCTCGGTCGGCGCCGGTGGATCTGGATCAACACCTGGCTCGTAAGCTTGGCCAACAGTTACGGAGTAGTTATAGGGAGGTCTAGGAGGAGCCTTATACTTCTTTTTGATTGGAGGACCTCCTTGGGGCGCACGTGCAGCCCCTTCCCGCCAGGGTGGAACTGCTGATGCGGACCTACTTGCTGCACTAACTCCGGGTGGAGGCGGCTTAGTCTTAACTGGTTGAGATGATGATCTAGGTGGTGGCGAACCTATTGATTTTGGAGGAGTCTTAGGTCTTGGGATATCAGGGACAAAAACCTCGGCTTTGGTGCCGTCTCGAAAGATTTGGGTTTGGATTGTACCTGAAACTCTTGTTGAAGAAGTTGTTACGGCAACTGGAGCCTCTTCCTCAGCTGTTGTGTCCCTGTGACGAGATCTAGAACGTTCAGCACTTTTTGCACTAGGTGACAAAAACCTACTAACACTACCTCTTGGAGATGGTGCTTTTGGAGATGGCTGCAATGGAGTGCTATGTTCCTGAGGCGCTAATGGAGCAGCCTCTTCCTCAACTTCTACTTCAACCTCAACTTCCTCTTCACCCTCGGGCGGGGCTTCAGGAGGGTCAGATGAGTGATCCTCTTCCTCTTCGCCTTCTGGTTCACCTGGATCGGAGGGATCTGGGTCCTCGTCCGGTGCCTCGGGCTCAGATGGAGGCCCACCTGGCGCAGCAGCAGTTGATGTTGGTTCGGGTTGAGGAATTGATCTACGTCGAGATTGATAAACCTGCCTACGCCCAGAAGAAGTTGTTGTAACAATAGCCCTTCTTTTTGGTGGAGGAACTGTAGTTTCTTCTTCTTCTTCAACCCCGTCAACAAATTCTGAGTCTACAGCAACTAGACCCTCAGGTTCAGAGATCGGGATTACCTGGGTATTATGGGAGGATACCAATGCAGTGTTGCTACCAACCAATGACGGATCCCGCCAAACTTCGTCAGCAAGTTCGTGTGGGTCAACGGATGATGTAGCAGTGCCAGGAATGGCAACAGGAACAGTTGTGGGTTCCCTTCCAACAGAGCCAGGCGGCTTTGAGATACGCACCCAAGTGCCCTCAGAGTTTATTATCACAGGGGGATAATTACTATCAGCGGGTCTTAGGGCTATTGGTCGGGAACTAAGACTAGGGGTACCTAAGTTACCACCCCTTGCACGGCGTAACACCTCAGTGTCCTGATCTGCAAAAGAACCGTCAGCTCTCGGGGTGAGAGTGGCTGGAACCCGTGATCTAGATCGGCTCACTGGCTTTGGCGCAGCGGGTGCTGACGCAGCTGGGGTCTTATCGATGTTACCACCTTTAACTTTTCGGGCAGGGGGTGTGCCAGCTCTCTCACGTGGTCTTCCACGCTCAGCCCTATCCAAGTCAGCCGCCGATGGCGGTGGATGAGATGGTGGCGGAGGGATCGCTGTTGCAGCCCCTTCTCCTTTTGGCGTTGCAGCTCTTGGCGGCCGCTGTGGAGGAGGTCCTAAAGTTTGATGGAAGTCTCGATGTACAGGCACGGGTGGTGCTGGGTAACTAGGTGCGGGTCCTAATCTTTTTAAAGGATTATCCTTAGGGGGCTTAGCAACTTTGGGGTCCGATGCTTTAGGCTTGGCCGGTTCTGGCACGGATGCTTCGCCGGATGCTTTTGGATCGGATGCTTGCTCAGCCTCTTCAGGTTTAGGGCGCTTTTCAGCAGCCCCTCCCGTGACACGTGGCGGCGGAACACTGGCTACGGATTCTGAAACTTTCGGAGCGGGTTGATGGCCTGCAGGTCGAAGGGATGGCACCCACGGCGGTGGATGATTAGGTTCCTTGGGTTCAGACACTGGCTTAGGCCTAGCTTTAGCCTTCGGTGGGCCCCTTGGTGATGGAGTGTGGGTTTCTTCAGAAGAACTAACACCCCTATCTAATGTTGGGTCCACACCTAATGCTGTAGCTTGCTCGGATCCAGATGGTAGTTCAGTATTTTGGGTAAACACACTAGCTTTGGCTTTTGCCTTACCTTTTGGTTGTGGACCCCTATAGGTATCGTAGTCGTCCCAAACGGATCTAGGTGGATCTGGATCCCCAAAAGCTTGCAAGTTAATGTGATCCCTATCAGGTAGCACAGTATTTGCAGCAGTATCTGGAGCAAGATGCAATTCACCTCTTCGATATCCGTTGGTAAAAAGCCAATTTCTATAAGGAGCAAAGGTATTAGCAAGATGGACTAAGATTTGGTTTAGCGTACAATGATTGTAGAGGACTCTAAAGACACGGACAGTCCAGATCAGTTCAGCACTTGCTTCTGAGTGGTGGACGTACCTGAGCCAGAATTCTGCCTCGTTCCAAAGAAAGTCAGCTAGTTTATCAAAGTCGGATTGCCAACGCTGGATGAGCCTTTTGGTCTGGGCTTTCTTCCCGCCTTTGGTTCCACGTACACGGGGACCTCTGGACGGCCCTGCAGGAGAATGGCCTGTTTGGACGTGCCCAGATGTTGAGGCGCCTGCGGCAGCCCCTTCCTGCTCAAGAAACGGTGATGTTGGGGGCGGTGGGACTTCGTCCTCTTCCGCTGTCCCTCCAAGGTGTTGGACGTATACCGGAGCAAATGTCGAATTAGGATCTGGCTCAACTACGGATGGAGAGCTTCCTAAGATCGGATCTGCGGCGGAGTCTGGAACCTCAGCACTAGTTTCCTGATCAGGGTTATTAGAAAAATCAGTTTCTTCTTTTGGAATTAAATTTTCGGGGTTGTCTACTTCGAGATTATTATCTGCTTCAGCTGGATCGGATGCAATCGGGTGATCAACAGGCTCAGCGGCGGGATCGGCCTCAGCCTCAAGTGCTTCAAACAGTTCCTCAGCTGTTACCTCTTCCTGCTTCGGTGGATCGAGCAAAGAAAGGGCGTCAAAGCGTAGGATGTCGAAGTCCTCTTCTTCAGCTTCAGCCGGGGCGCTAGGAGCAGCCCCTCCCACCTGAACGTCAGTTGTCAGCACGGTCGCGTCCTCAGAAGCGTCTGCCCAGTTAAATCCAGTACTGCCTTCAACAGCGACTTCAGTGCTTTCAGCAACTTCCGCCTCTGCTTCCGGGTTCCCGTCAGCAACTGATACAGAGGCGCTCAAAGCAGCCTCTTCCGACAGACCTTCTGGTACCATACAAAGTGAAACAGGAAATCAGCGAAAAGAATGAAACAGTGAACGAGGTTGCGTGGGGCCTAAGTTACCTGTTAAGGAGTTCAAGACTTTCCCAGCAAAAGAACACAGAATCAATACGGCTGATAACCACAAGAAAAGGGGGACAAACAGGGGACCAACCAGTTTGAACTCCTTAACATCAAAATCTTACAAGCCGCTACTTTTCTGCTTGCGACTTGAGCCATGTAATTACGGATTATGGCATTAAACCCGACTGGATTGGGGATAATGCTACCGTTACTATGTACATGGCTATATACATTGAATGTTGGAATCATAGCTACAGTGTGGAGTGAACTAATACTAGTATATACAGTGGTGGTATAGGGGTCGTAATATTTCTACTGTTAATCCACTTATAACTGGTGTGAACTAACCCACTTACGATTCGTGGGATGAGCCACCAAGTACCCCAGTATTTATCCATTTGATTTTCGGAAAATCCCTTTGTCAATGGATTGGTTTTGTTGGGAAAATCTTAACCGGAAGCCATGTTTTTTACCATAAAATATGACGGGGTTTCCGGTTAAAATTTTCCCATCATCCAGTTTTATGACTTTGGGGTTTCGATCGTAGTTCAGATTCTATACATTTCTATACTATGAACACATACTGCTTGGTGGTTTCAACATGAAAAAAACAACTCGCTCGAAAAATATGAAAGTCAATGGGAAGGATTACATCCCATATATGAAATGGAAACTAAAAAAATGTTTGATACCATCAACCAGTGATTCACCTGGTTGGTGGTTGAGCCTACCCCTCTGAAAATGATGGAGATGAAATTCCCAACTGAATGGAAACATAATCCAAATGTTCCAAACCACCAACCAGTATTAGTATTTTTCAATAGATATGGCAATGTTAGTCAAATTTTGTGCTTCTTTGTTGGCAGTTGTCAAGTACATAATATGCATGTATGTACTATGTAATCATATGCACAAACTATTATGAATAATATATGTATATCTGTATATCTGTATGTCTGTCTGGCTGTCTGTCTGAAATCATTTGTCTATCAAACACAGTTGAACAAACCTGTAGAGCTGTTTATGTGTACATATATTATAATATACCCATCTGATGTCACGTAGTGTATATTTGTGCAAATCTGAATCAAGTGGAATCCCACATGTGTAGAGATTGATGATCCCCAACAAGACTGAAGAAAAAAACTTTACCACCCATCACCAACAGTACCCTCGGGCTGAGTGAGGGTTCCTGGTTGCAACTGGAATCTGCTGGAGCGACAACCAATACCCTCTCCAGCTACCAATCATCTGATGGTAAGATACATTGCGGTTCAACATGTCAACAAGGTTTCTCTTACGAAGTACCCAGCCTGTTGGCACATCCCCAAATAGCATTCAATAGCTCTACCGCGTCTGATATACAATGTCCTCACAACATCCGCATTTGTCTTCCGAGTGAACCACCTTAAGCATTGTCAAGTCCCATTTAAGCTAATTCATTCCATTCAATCGCACTAAATCCCCGTTTCCATGTGATCCACCCGAGTTTTCAGCCTTTCGCACCAAGACACAAGGGACTAAAGCCATGGAGCGCGTGATCAGGGCCCGCTTCCACGGCGCAACCTGAAGTCCAAGGTCTTCAGGGACGGCTGGCGACCGGGCGACCTCTGGGGGTGTATTCTATATATATATATAATAATTATATATTTATATTTTTTTTACATACATACATAACCAGCAATATATGGTGATTTAATGCGATTTAAAGGGATTTAATGACATTCAATGTCACTTGACAATGGTTTAAGGGGTTTTATGTGATTTAAGGAATCTACGATTTTTTTCAGAGGGGCCTCTGAGGAAAATGATGATTTACCTAAAGAAACTGGGGAACAAAATACGGGGATATGACCATGGCTAGCTGGGAAATCCTCTAAATGTAGTTTTAAGTGTTACTGGGAAAACATATATAAATTATAAATGGGGATGGCTGGGGTGAACTACCAAGTATAAGCACAATCACGGGGATTTATATAAGTTGAATTTGCTCCAGATGCCCCACACAAATATGCATATATTCCCTATAGATTGCCTGAATTGCAAATTTACCAATGAGAAAACTGAACATCACCTTCAGATACATTCAGCAGATCTAAGTTAAACTACGAACATAGGGGTTCCAATCTGGTCGAAAGACAAGCATGCTGTAGGTATGTTGTGGGATATCATGAGACAAACATACTGCTTAGATGTGCCAAGTCAAGTTAGTTAACGGATTAGAAAGTGGAATAGATAAAGGACCTTTATCAATGGCCATTTCAGGAAATTAAATATCATAACATAGACCCGGGCAAGCCGGCGGCGGAAGTTTCCCAAACATAAATGACCTATAGTTCAAAGACACCCTGTCCCGACCGTGTCCTTCCCTCGACACTCCACACCTCACACTGCACACTGCACTCTTCGCACTCCAAACTTCAAACTTCACACTCCACACTTCACACTCCACACTTCTCACTTCTCACTGCTTCCTTCACACTCCAACCCTCACACTTCACACTGCACACTTCACACTTCACACTTCACAGTCCACACTTCACACTTCACACTTCACAGTCCACACTTCACACTTCACACTTCACAGTCCACACTTCTCACTTCGCACTTCACACTTCACACTTCACATTTCACACTTCTCACTTCTCACTGCTTCCTTCACACTCCAAACTTCTCACTTCGCACTTCACACTTCACAGTCCACACTTCACACTTCTCACTTCTCACTGCTTCCTTCACACTCCAAACCTCACACTTCACATTTCACACTTCACACTACGATAACGTTCGCACGAAAAACTTAACATTCACACCCACATTCTCACGTCTCACTTCCCACTGTTTCCTTCACACTGCTCTAAACCTACGTGCAACAAAAAAACACTAGTGCCAAAATGGAGAAAATCTGCTGACAAATCACTGTCGCAGCCTTCATGCAGCCACTCCAATACGATTTACGAGATCCAGCTGCAAAAGACAATAGTATTACGAATGCAGCCACAGCACGAAGCAACCTTGACGCAGCCATTACAATGCGATCTGCAGAGACTGAGTTGCAAAACACACTAGAACTACGCGCAACGGCGTCGGAAATTGTAGCTCCAAAACCGGATCTCGACGCCAGAGCGAAAAAAAAAAGACGATTTTGAAGCACTTTTTAAAAGGATTTTTAGAAGGAAAATCACTAGCGCCAAAATGGAGAAAATCTGCTAACAAATCACTGTCGCAGCCTTCATGCAGCCACTCCAATACGATTTACGAGATCCAGCTGCAAGAGACATTACGCATACAGCCAAAGCAAGAAGCAACCTTGACGCAGCCATTCCAATGCGATCTGCGGAGACTGAGTTGCAAAACACAATAGAACTACGCGCAATGGCGTCGGAAATTGTAGCTCCAAAACCGGATCTCGACGCCAGAGCGAAAAAAAGACGATTTTGAAGTACTTTTTAAAAGGATTTTTAGAAGGAAAATCACTAGCACCAAAATGGAGAAAATCTGCTGACAAATCACTTCCGCCGCAGAGGTAGATCATCGAGGTTCGGGGACGGACTTTGTATGGAAAAACATAGGGTTTCGTGCATCTGCTATCTCTCAAAAACGCATTTCGTGCGAGACTTCCTTCAAAACTCCATCGGCAACTCATCCACCAGAAAAAATGGCAACCAAATTTCCAATGCGGGGGGTGGGAACGGATCCTACAGTTGCAAATCACAATGGAAAAATTCTGTAGAACGACACACATGCAGAAAGAACAGTGAAACCCCACTTTTTACAATGCGGGAGATACATCGATTCCGAGGACCGATACGGAGCAATGCCCGGGATGCTCCGACCAAAACTACGAGACCGGTCTCGCACCCGTCGCCACCGCACGGAAGGGGTAGATCATCGAGGGGAGGTGGACGGACTTTTGTATTGGAAAAAAAATATGGGTTTCGTGCTATTGCTATCTCTCAATAGAAAACGCATTTCAGTCGAGGAATTTCCTCCAAAACTCCATCGGCAACTCATCCACCAGCACCACTTGCAACCCCATTTACAATGCGGGAACGATCCTACAGTTGCAAATCAAAATGGAATTCTGTCGACCACACATGCACGAAAAACAGTTGAAACCCCATTTACAATGCGGAACCGATCCGAGACCGATCCGAGACCAATCCGAGGATGATCCGAGGATGATCCGACCACACACCGGAGCAGCCGTACAGTTCGGCACCCGTCGCCCTCACACACGCGAGGATTGCGGTAGAATAATTACGAAGGTTCGGGAGGGGACAGACTTTGTATGGAAAAACATAGGGTTTCGTGCATCTGCTATCTCTCAAAAACGCATTTCGTGCGAGACTTCCTTCAAAACTCCATCGGCAACTCATCCACCAGCACCACTTGCAACCCATTTACAATGCGGGAACGATCCTACAGTTGCAAATCACAATGGAATTCTGTCGACCACACATGCACGAAAAACAGTTGAAACCCCATTTACAATGCGGAACCGATCCGAGACCGATCCGAGACCAATCCGAGGATGATCCGAGGATGATCCGACCACACACGAGACCGTCTCGCACCAGTCGCACCGCAGAGGTAGATCATCGAGGTTCGGGGACAGACTTTGTATGGAAAAACATAGGGTTTCCTGCATCTGCTATCTCTCAAAAACGCATTTCGTGCGAGACTTCCTCCAAAACTCCATCGGCAACTATCAACCAGCACACTTGGCAGCCCCATTACATGCGGGAACGATCCTACAGTTGCAAATCACAATGGAATTCTGTCGACCACACATGCACGAAAAACAGTTGAAACCCCATTTACAATGCGGAACGATCGAGACCGATCCGAGACCAATTCCGAGGATGATCCGACCACACACGAGACCGTCTCGCACCCGTCGCACCGCAGAGGTAGATCATCGAGGTTCGGGGACAGACTTTGTATGGAAAAACATAGGGTTTCCTACATCTGCTATCTCTCAAAAACGCATTTCGTGCGAGACTTCCTTCAAAACTCCATCGGCAACTCATCCGGCAGCACCACTTGCAATCCCATTTGCATTGCGGGAACAATCAATGCCCAAACTAACTCTTGCTTTAACTAACCCTTTCCCTGACGAACTCTTTCTTTGACTGTTTCTTTGAACTCTTTCTTCGACGAACTCTTTCTTTGACTAACTGTTTCTTTGACTAACTGTTTCTTTGACTACCTGTTTTGACGAACTCTTTCTTTGACTAACTCTTTCTTTGACTAACTCTTTCTTTGACTAACTGTTTCTTTGACTAACTCTTTCTTTGACTAACTCTTTCTTTGACTAACTGTTTCTTTGACTAACTAACTCTTTCTTTGACTAACTCTTTCTTTGACTAACTCTTTCTTTGACTAACTCTTTCTTTGACTAACTCTTTCTTTGACTAACTGTTTCTTTGACTAACTCTTTCTTTGACTAACTCTTTCTTTGACTAACTCTTTCTTTGACTAACTGTTTCTTTGACTAACTCTTTCTTTGACTTACTGTTTCTTTGACTAACTCTTTCTTTGACTAACTCTTTCTTTGACTAACTCTTTCTTTGACTAACTCTTTCCCTGACTAACTATTTCTTTGACTAACTCTTTCTTTGACTAACTCTTTCTTTGACTAACTCTTTCTTTGACTAACTCTTTCTTTGACTAACTCTTTCTTTGACTAACTGTTTCTTTGACTAACTCTTTCTTTGACTAACTCTTTCTTTGACTAACCCTTTCTTTGACTAACTCTTTCCCTGACATTCTAAAAGTCCGTAACACGGAAGTTTCTCCCACTAAACTTCCTTTGATAATTAATGCCTATTATTCAGGGCTATGTAGTTAAGGAATTCGGCACATCCCAACAAAATACGGCGCCTTATATAGTGCAGTACCTCTATTTTATGGTCCTGAAATTTCCACCATTTCGACAACTCCCATGGCAATTCAAACCACCTCCCCTAACCATTAGGTAATGCTGCACTCTTCCCTAGCACGGAAAGCATTAAAATAAAACCCCATTCTGTTTTTGCTACAATAAGTCACAAAATCATACACAATTTCTATGAAGACAAATATCATATGGCTATGGCTCAAGAGTCAGTGCTGTGTAGTTCACAGTAAAGTAGTTGATGGAAAACAAGATCTATGTTCATCCCCTCATTTCATGCGAGAGATCACTATTCTTGATCCGTACCCATTTCTTAACTCCCCCGCGATGGATGCAATATCAAGTTAATCCTCTTCGGTAAAATCCAGTTGTTCCTGTCAATCATGACACGTTTCATTTAAGTAATCATAAAAAAGGACAACAACAGCAACAACAACAACAACAAGAAGAAGAAGAAGAGGAAAAAGAAGAAGAACAAGCTATATCTCCTGATATCTCATGCAAAATCTATCTTGCCCTAATCAGATGGTGGCCCTTCTCACTTTCGCGAAGCCTGCAGCTGCAAGTAGCCCTGCATGACCTCAGCAGGTGGATGACTTGGAATGGGAGATCTCCAGGATCCACGTTAGTACCATATTTTTGGCAATATGTTCGGGGTATATCCCCTGACAATTGGCCCTGAACCATAGGCCTTATATATGGAATCGGTACCTCCAATCAATCGGTTCCTGAGTCATGGCCATTGAACTATATATATTTATTATGATTTAGCTATAACCGGCTACAACTATCTATACAAATATGGTTATGAAATATAAATTATGTATTTACGAGAAATTCACGTAGACCCTGCTATGTGTCAGGGGTTGGATAATTGATTTCCACTAAACATCACTTAACATTGCATGTTTTCAGGGTCAAACTGTTAACTTACTCCAGGTAAATCCCAAATCGCAAGTCATTTCACCATCATCTATAGTTCTTCTCCCATTCGTCCTATCCCTATTTATTGGAGGCTATCATACCCCTATGATTCAAATCAGCAACAAAAATCCCAGTCCATCCATTTCCCATCCCCATGTTTCTTCGTTAAGTCACCATTTTTCCACTCGTTTTCCTATGGCTTTCCTATGCTTTTCCTATGCTTTTCCCATGGGTTTTCCCACCATTTTCCCCAGCTTCCACCATGGTTCCTCCATCCGCCACGGCACCCACTGTCCGGCGTAGGCCCCCGTCATGGTCGAGGACTGCCCGGCGGCGCAGAGGCCCAACGCCCAGACGATGCGCATGGTGTGGCCAAACTCCTCGCCCAGGTAGCTGCCGGCGTTCGCCAGGCCGATTCCTTCCTGAGTCTGGAGTTGTGGCTCTAGATGTGTAATATAAGACATTTTATATATAGTATAATGTAGTATAATATTTGTTTATATAGTATATAGTATAATAGTATAGTATAATAACTATATATAGATAGTATATTTGTTTACAATGTCCAAAAGTATAACATGTTCTTTTGATAATATAAAGTTGTTTTCATAATATTGTAGGCAGCAGGTCGCAACAGTCTGTCTCCTATCTTTATCTGTTTTCAGTGCTAAACTAATGTGCTGAACCCAGCTAAACAATACTTACATAAGTGCCAAACTCTACCATGTTTAAGTGCTATCTTGTACATTTCAAAAATAAACGTCTTTATCAACTTCTCAACAATTTTACCGAGGGAATAATGTCAACCTTGGATGAGACTAAACCCTGGTTTATTAGTTTGAGGCGTTCCACCCAAAATAATGATAAGTTGCTACTAAAATGGTATCCTCCCACTCAAAGAGCCTAGGGGTTATTCTTCACCAAGACTCCGTGCCAGGCTTGCCATAGAATCCCTTGGCAAAAACGGCTACTACAAAGGTATTGATCACCTGGGGCCGGCCGGTTGCGGATGTTGGGGAATTTGTTGGCTGCCTAGTAGGGTCAGTTTGCCAACTGATGTGGAAATGAGTTTATACCTGGAGTCTTCCAACGTAATCATGTTTGCAGCCGTTTTCCAAAAAGGCACAAATGTCTGCCGGTTTGATGGAACAATCGATATTCAGTGACAGACACATGACAATATGCCAAAAAAAAACCTCGTTCCAAAGTACTATGAATGAAACCATGGTCGGGAAAAGTCGCCTTTTGGTCGGGAAAACTTGCCTTTCGGTCGACTACAGTACAAAATCACGAAAAGCCCCTGTGGCCTTTTGGCATCTTTGGCACCTTTGCCCGACAAGGCAGAACACGTATATCCACAGGCGGGGGATATATACATAGACATATGCATAGACACGTACATATACATACTGTATACATTTGCACATATACATACTACATACGTATACACACGGTTACACACGCACATGTATAATATATATACACTACTTACATATATATATATATGTATAACTTACATATACATATAGGGACCATCACCATCTCGGGGGGGAGGGGGGGCACCACCAAACGCTGGCGCCGGGCCATATATATTTTGTGTATATATGTATTTATAAACAACATGATAGAATAATATGAGTAGTTAGTATAATGATTAAAAGAAATATATTATAAATGAATCATCTGTATATCCCTAGTGCTCCAAATACCCTCTGAGGTGTAAACAGACCCCAAAAACAACTCCAAATACAGTCTCAGAAGATGTTTGGAGCTGTAGGGTATATATATAATATATAATATATATATACCCTCTGGTTATTTAACATGGCCATGGAAAATCACCATTTTTAATAGGTAAACCAAGGTAAACCATCTATAAATGGGCCATCTATACCATGGCTATGTTAAATAACCAGAGGGTATAGATATATATATATATATAATTATATTTAGAAAAAAACCATAAGGAACCATCTCTATCTATATATATATGGGTATGGGTCAAAATTAGGTACCCCAAAATTATGGATGGTTAATACTAAACTAGACATTCACATCTGTGGTCCCACATCGGTCTTCCATTTTGACCCACATCCATATAGTTAACAAAAAAACCAGAGGGTATAGATATATATATATATATAATTATATTTATATTTTAAAAAAAAAAAACTATAAGGAATCATCTATATATATATAGTTTAAAAAAAAAAAAATACGTCATCGCTTGCAGGAGGTTTTTCATGGTTGCCACGTCACCAGAGATGTGATGATGGCGGCGGTGGATTCCACCGTGAAGAGACGAATGGCCTCCTCCTGGGCCACCAGACAAGTCATGGGAAAAAGGGTGGATTTCAGGGCCATAGAAAGTGGATTTACCCATAGAAAGTTCGTGGATTTACCCATAGAAATAGTGGATTTACCCATAGAAATAGTGGATTTACCCATGGAAATAGTGGATTTACCCATAAAAATAGCATGGAAATAGTGGATTTATCCATAAAAATAGCATGGAAATAGTGGATTTACCCATAAAAATAGCATGGTGGATCTTTCCATATAGCTATGTTAGTCATTACCAGAGGGTATTTCACGCGCAAAAATGCTGAGTTCACATATTTAACTACGGAAAATGGTGATTTCATGGTATATTCTCGTCATGTCTTGGGATATATATATATATAAGCTACTTGGGGCTGCAGTTGAGGTGAAATGGGTACCATGGAAATTTCACCCCCATGTTTGTTGGTAGATGGGGCCGCTATAACTATTGTGACATCTACCCTCTGGTAAATTGACTTATTCCAATTGAAATTCTTGGCAATTTGAATTTGAACATTGCTTTATTGACCTTGAACAGTAGGGTTTCCAATTCCCAGATTAATTATATAGATGATTCCATTATTTCTAAATGATTCATATGTTCTAGATGATATATATATATAAGAAAAATACCTCTTGCCATAGGCTTCTCATTGCCACTTCAGATTGCCACCTGACACCCGAGGCTTCTGCCGTCCCCGTCCTCTTCGCCACTTTGAATCACACGACTTTGGACCAAGGCCGAGTGAAGGAACCTGAGCAGAGGGGATTTTAGTGGGCATTGGAATTAAAAAGGTGTCAGATGTCCGAGATATATGTAAACATCACCCAACTTTTCAGGATGTGCATCTATACCCTCCAGAAAATTAACATAGACCCTGCCAGTCATCGGGATTGGAAGATTAGTTCCATTTATATAAACAAATGCTATTTTCAGCGTCTCTGTTAATTTACCAGAGGGTATATGATATCATATGAGTCATATAATCTCATAGCTGCAGCTGATGGTCAAAATCCCAAGAGGAACATGTACCAACCCCTGTAAAAAATGGAGAAACATATATAATATTAGGTGATTTCACTGGGGAACCATGGGGATATCACAAGGGGATACCACCCAGTGGTTGGTGGATTCAGATCTCGATGGGATCCATGCCGATTTTTACCAGGTGGTTGGTGGTTGACCTACCCCTCTGAAAAATGATGGAGTGAAAGTCACTTGGGATGATGAAATTCCCAACTGAATGGAAATTCATGTTCCAAACCACCAATCAGACAAGGTGGTGCCCCAAAAAAACGTTATGTTTATTGGTTTAGATTCACCCCATGAAAACTAGTTCGATATTTATATATATATATCGCCTATAAACCATAGTGAAATTGGAGTTATTTCAACCAACTTAGCTATCTTGGGGGCACCACCTTGTATATAATAGATTTCCGGGGTGCCCTTTTTCGGTACAAACCCAAGTGGAAGAAACTTCCTCTGTGAGTCCTACGTGGGATTGAACAGTTTTTCCCTTCTAAATCTTGCGGGGTGTTTACTGAGTAAAAATCAAACAATCCAGTCTACCGTAGTAACTTTGGTGCCTAATTAGGCTTCAATGCTGTCACAGAATTATATCACGTGATCAACGGAAAATCCAGTTGAGCTCAGTTTCAGGATCCGATAGTTTAGATTTGCTGAGTAGCAGGTTGTGGGGCATGATGACGCAGCCAACCATTCCTCGGAACGCTGGACAGAGGCATACCTCTGTGCTAGGGGAAGTGGATACTTCCAGGCATTCTTAGATGGCTTTCCCAGAAAATTTGATGAATTTTCACGAATTGTCCATTTAAAACCTAGAGCTTTTTTCAGGCGAATGAGCAACGATCCTGCAAGAACCCTAAACCCAAAAGAGATTGGTGAATCGGAGTAGTCATCCCAAGCAGAATGCACACCAACCTCTCAGGGCCCTGAAAGAAACTCCATGGGATATACATTGCCAATCTTGAATACCCTTCATTTCTTTTTTTAAAGCTGGTTCGTAAATGTCGCCATGTACCCAAACACCAGTATGAAACTTACCCCATGAGACCCAAGCCCTATCCCAACCTCTATCCGTTTAGGGCTTCCTATCCCTTTACATCCCTTTACATTAAGTGGATATCCCAAAATTCCCATCTGGTTGGTGGTTTTAACCATCTTGAAAAATATGAAAGTCAATGGGAAGGAGTATCCCATATATGAAATGGAAAATAAAATTCATGTTCCAAACCACCAAGCAGTCATATGTGTATATATATATATGCCCTCTGAGAATTTAACATAGCTATATGGACAGATCCACCATGCTATTAATGGGTAAATCAACGAACTTTCTATGGCCATTTTCAAGTTCGCAAACCAGCAACCAGAAGTCGGGTATCCCAAAATGGGTAAATCACCAGTTTTATGGGTAAATCAACGAACTTTCTATGGCAATTTTCAATAGCAAAACCGTGAATTACAAACCGTTGATGGGATCATGAAATTCCCAACTTTTTATGGAAAGTCTCATCAAATTCCATGGTTCCAGTCACCACCAAGCAGCAACCAGAATGGGTATCCCAAAATGGGTAAATCACCAGTTTTATGGCTAAATCAACTATAAATATATATCTATAAATTGCATTTTTTTCATGGTATCCCTTTAAAATTCCCATAGTCTCCCTGGCTTTCACTTCCTGTCCAGCCATGGCCAAGCATCCCACCACCTGCTGCAAGGCGTTCTTCGGCAGCTGCGGGATGGTTAGGCCCTCCAGCACCGCCAGATCGTCTGGGGAGATCACCTCAAATCAATGGCGATCCGTTGGTGGTTTTATGTATAGTTTATGTATAGTTGGTGATATATCTATGGTTTATCAGTGATTTAGGTGATATAAACAATGTTTATGTACAAATTTCACTAGAAATTGGTTTAGATTCACCCCATTAACTATAGAAGTAAAGATATATCATGTATAGTTTATGTATAGTTTATAACTCCAATTTCACTATGGGTAACTATGGTTTATAGGTGATATATCGAACTGGTTTATCAGTGATTTAGGTGATGTAAACCATGGTTATGTATAGTTGAAATAACTCCAATTTCACTATAAATCTGTTTAGATTCACCCCATTAACTATAGAAGTATAGATATATCATGTATAGTTTATGTAGAGTTTATATTTTATGTATAGTTTATGTACAATTCAGGGCTGATCTAATTTTTACATGCATAGTTTATAACTCCAATTTCACTATGGTTTATAGGTGATATATTGTGATATATCTAGAAAATTCTATATTGTTAACGGGGTTTCTAAACCAATTTATATAACTGATGGGTGGATGACCTACCCCTCTGAAACATATGAAAGTCAGTTGAGATGATGAAATTCCCAATATTCCCAATATATGGGAAAACAATGTTCCAAACCACCAACCAGATGGGAGATCTTCAGGATCTGATTTAATGGAGCTGGGTTAGTACCATATGTTTGGCCATATTTTCTGGGGATCTTCCCTGAAATTTAGGCCTTAAAAAAAGGGCCTTATAAAAATGGTAGGTACCTCCAATCAATCGGTTCCAATTCGTCATGGCTGATAAAAGGGCTGAAACCATGGGAATTTCCAGGGGAATTCGACCTTCAACGTGGGATTTTATGGGATTTACCAGGCAAAAGTACATCTTTCATGGCGATGTCATGCGAATTTCATGGGAATTTGGATTGAATGGGACGTCAATTGGCATAAAAAACGGGCCAAGATGAATCGGAATAGGGATCTCATTGGGATATTTCATGGTATATGATATATCTTACTTTATGTTAACACCCCAAGTTGTGTTTGTTGGTTTAGCTTCACCCCATCAACTAACTGGTTCGATGATATATGTATTATATATGTATTATATATAGCAACTTATATATATATATATACATATCATAAACGAGATAATTCAAGTTAGTGAAGAAAAACCATCATCTTAGCTATCGTAAACAAATGCCCCACCTTGCGCTGATGGCAACTGTTTTTTCTCACGATCAGAAGTCCCCTATTCCTGGGATCCCAGTCAGCAGCAACCATGGTGTTGCCCAACTATGGCCCCAATGGCCAAGTGACTATGAAGAGACGTCCCATCGACAAAGCCTAGCTGGAGCAACATTGAAATGTTCCCAACTGGGGCTACCCTTCAGTAAACTCACAGTTTGCGAACTGGAACATCGCGATTTGTAAACAAAGCATCGAACTACATAGGTTGTATCTTCAGCAAACGATCATATATAGATCATATATCATATATAGATCATATAATATATTATATACAAATCATATATTATATCACTATGATTTTCCATAGATCATATAGTTTACTGGAGGGTATGACTGGAGAGACCATCCAATCAAATGTCAGTGATGGGTGCAGTCAGTGAACGAAGTGGATCTGGTTGGTGGTTGAGCTACCCCTCTGAAAAATATGAAAGTCAAATGGGAGTATGAGTCCCATATATATGGAAAAAATTAAAAGAACACCAACCGTATATATATATATATATCATCCCAACTTATGGGGGTTATTACCGTAGTTATACCCATTAAGAACCCCAACTGCACCTCCAGGCTGCCAGATTTCAAGAAATCCTAGTGGTAAAAGAACTACTTTGGAGGCAGTGACTAGTTTTGTTTCACATGAATCCTATGCCTGGAAGTGTTGGGCATAAAATGTGGGATATGATATTCACCCTATCTTTTCATGAAACCAACACCTAAAAATACTTGGTCCTTAGGGTCCTTCAATCAAACACGAAGTGGGCATTCGGATGAATTTGGGACATCTACGGAAGCTATGGCAAATCAGCATCCGATCTGCATCTAGTTGGCAAATGTTGGCAATACATACCAATCTTAGCTATATATCTTATATCATCTGGTTGGTGGTTTCAACCCTCTGAAAAATATGAGTTCGTCAGTTGGGAGAATGAAATTCCCAACTGAATGGAAAAAAAACATGTTCCAGATTCCAAACCACCAACCAGTCATATATACATATACATATATATATATATGTGCCCTCTGCTAATTTAACATAGCTATATGGAAAGATCCACCATGCTATTAATGGGTAAATCAACGAACTTTCTATGGCCATTTTCAAGTTCGCAAACCAGCAACTAGAAGTCGGGTATCCCAAAATGGGTAAATCACCAGTGTTATGGGTAAATCAACAAACTTTCTATGGCCATGTTCAAGTTCGCAAACCGTAACAAATTACCAGAGGCTTTATGGTACCTCTGGACGTCTTAAATTTGCGCATCATCCCCCCAGAAAAAGTTTGATCCCAGGAGCCAGGACCAGAATCAAGATGCCGAAGAAGAGTTCCAAGGGCCTCGTGCCCAATCCTTGGTACAGGATGGGGCACCCCAGTCGATAGCGTTCAGAAACGCACGCCTTATTTCAGTGGCTGAATTCTATGGTAGATATAACGAACTAGTATTCATGGGGGTTACAATGGTTTATACACCAACATTCACATCACTGGTTTTCCCCATCCTGTAAGTCCCTGATGGCTCATCATGTGCAAAACGGCTGAAAAATGCTGATAATCCAAATTACCGACCAGTTGCTAAATGGGGTGCTCCTCCAAGATCCAAGTATATCTCTTAGATGACTGGACAATCCCCCCATATTCTTCGTATGTGCTATCACTACTAACTTCAGATACCCTGCAAAAGAGTTGAATGTTAGCTATGTGTAGTCTTTTTTTTCAGGATAATGCAAAGCGTGAACCCATTCTCACCAGCGTTAATCATTTCGTCCAGGCTCTTTCCAGAAACAGGAAAATGAAAGCTGCGAAGGCAGTGACTAAAACCTTGCAGACTCAGGGGCTTCGAATGGTGACTGTGGATATCAAGGGGGGGTTGAACATAACCATGATTTTTAAACGGGTGGGTGAAAGGGATTTTCGTTACAGGAAACCGAAACCCAAAATAAACACATTACTCAGTACACAGTCTATCGGCTTTCGGGTTGGGTGCCCTTTTGTAGGGCAGTGAACAAAGATATCTATCAATCTGGATGCCCTCTATTTATACGGGCCTTAGATATGCAGAAATGAATTTAATGAGAATGATTCGAGCAGCTGATAAATATCGCGTATATACAATGGCCATCAATGGCCAATGGAAATGGCGCTTTCCACAGTTTCTGGGATCAAACTTCTGTCGGATTCTGCATGGCTTGGTCCGTGTGAACTGCCCAAGACCGATTGAAATCTATAGTTCTTACGAATTTCAGGTATTTACCGAAAAATAAAACTGGTTGGTGGTTTTAAACATCTTGAAAAATATAAGTTCGTCAATGGGGTTGGGATTATTATCCCACATATGAAATGGAAAATAAAATGTTCATGTTCGAAACCACCAAGCAGATAACATATTACCCTCTGGTCATAGAACATAGCTATATGGAAAATCACCGTGTTTGAATAGGTAAAGCATCATAAATGCAATAAATCATCGAGCTAAATGGGCAATGGCTTCCATATATGTAAGAAATTACCAGAGGCGAATGGGAAAAAGAGCGGTTTTCTGCAACAAAAACATCCAAAAACAAACAAAAAAACAACGCAGTTGGGATATTCTGTGGTCAACGGCTAAGGACGCCACACCCCTCAGCGCCAAGGCACACCTTCTGCCAGTGACAGGCCCGCCAAGAGCTCTAAACCTTGGGCCAGCAGGTCACTTTGCCGGTCATGGTTTGGTGAAATCAGAAGTCCGAATTATGTCTAGCTATGAAGGTTATGACAAAATAGCTATTGAAAATGGCCATAGAAATAGTGGATTTTCCCATTAAACATGGTGATTTTAACCATAGTTATGTTAGTGTACTGGAGGGTAGCTATGAAGGTTTAATGACCTATTCTGTTCAAATTGTTACGCCAAGATATTCAGAGCTATTTCCAAGTTCCAGAAGTTTAGCATAAGACTTTTGTTCGAAGATAGTAACATAATATATGTCCCATGTCCCACTTATGTTGAGCTTAATTTATAGCCTTTGTTTCATGATGTTTAGTCATCTTCAGAGATACACAGGTTTATAACCCAGTGATTGTTATGTTTAATCTCTTATTATTGACAACTTGTGATATTACCATAAGTTTTTAATTAACATCCCAGTGATATGACTTATGTTTCCCATTTATTGATGTGAACTAACGGCTCCCATCTTAAAAATCCCACTGAAAATAGCGCCAGGGCACCGATGGAGCAGCCGATGACCTCCTGAATATCAGATCCGATGATGGCCATCTCCTGTCGAAGCTTTGAAACATGGAAGGGTGGTAAGGGCTATGCTTTGGGATATATATAGTGTTTTGTGTTTAATATATATATATATATACACAGTATATATATACAGTATATATATATCTATATATATATATATATATTCGTATAAAAAATTGGCTTTATATCGTACAATGCCTCAAGTACCTGGGTACCTGAAAGGGCCGTTGATGGCCATTGAAATTGTGTTTGTTGGTTTACAATTCCATTAAGTATTAGAACTATATACTATAGATATATCCACCGTAAATCATTTTAGCTAGTGAACTAAACGAGCTTCGCCGCTTCGCTATCCATGGGAACCAACCCTTTGTTCGGGGACTTACCCACCATTTGCAACCAAATCCTACCAAATATATGTAGGATACGGGGGGTTGACCCAATCTAAAGTCAAACACTTCAAAAAATAGACGTTTTTTCAAAAGTTTCAGCAACCATGATGGGCAAATGGGTATGAGTCAAAATTGGGTACCCCAATAGTTAGATGGTTAATACTAAGAATAGGCTAAAATCTGTGGTCCCAAAATCCCAGGTCTTCAATTTTGACCCATTCCCAAATGTATGCTGAAAATTTGTTGACTTCCCCGGAAGTGATCTCTTCAGTCACCGGTGAAGTGAGATCACTTCCGGGGTTTCGGTCATCCCCTCCCAGCGATCCATGGTGAATCCTGGGAGTATAAAAACCCATTGTGGATGAGCCGAAGATACCCTCTGGTAAACATAGAGAAAACGATGGAAAGATCCACCATTTATAATGGGAAAACTATGGAAAATCACCATTGTTTATGGGGAAACTATGAGAAATCAGCATTTTTAATGGTAAAACGATTGAAAGATCCACCATGCTATCAACACGGGTAAATCCACGAACTTTCGACTGGGCCAGCTATTCAAGTTCGCAAACTGTAACAGTCATTACCAGAGGGTATCTCATCCACCAAAAAAAAATTACTGGGCTACAACTGTCACTCTGTTAAGATGATCCACTACTGGTGATACATATCCGGATTTTTGGGGCACCTTTTACTGGGCGGCTTTACTCTTGGTTGTTGGATCAATCTCAAAATCCACAGGGTTGCCGATTCTGACCGGGGGTGGTTGAAAGCCCCAGAATGATTAGCATGTGTGCCATGAGGCCGTGATCCATCCTCATCATATTTCAAGCATGTTGAACACAACACAACATAATGAATCATTCTGTAAATTAGATTTATTTGCTGTGCAATGTCATATTTGCAATATCATTGGTTCAATAACAATGATATCATATTTTAAATTAAACAAATAACATTTTCACAAGAAACAATACTATGTAATATTATTTGATAATTTGGTTCAATGAACAAGAAATATCTTCGACCTACAACTGGGTCTTCGCCAAGTTGCAGTCAGAGCCCACAAAAAAAGCCGCAGCGGGCGATTAAAGGCATCCCGACCTCGCAGCTTTCATAGCGGTATCATGATTGATGGGTACGCAAGAGAAAAGTGGTAATGGTATATGAATGGATACTAGTACTTAATGATTTGCAAACCAACAAACACAAATAATTGCAAACACTGATACTGATGTGGTAATCCGAAATTGATTTGGTATATTGAAATTGAGACTCAAATCATAAGAAATGTACAAACCAGATACTTATTTTGGCAAGCATAATTTGGCAGTTCCAACCATGGTCAATACTTGTCAATACAATCCAATAGACGGAAGAATTTCACACAAAAAGAAAGGCATGGGAGGCTCGGAATTTTCCAATCCCATAGGATCCATGTATGGAATATTTACCAACATTTACCCCATAAATGACCCAAATGTAGGTAAATATACCATGGATCCTATGGGAATCACGGGTCCTTTTGAAACTTCGGAACTTCCCCAAGTTGAAACTTCGAGGCCCCACACCCTGCAGGAGTCAGCTGCCAGTCCTGGAAAAACCTGGCAATCAAAAATCCCCTTAGACCTTTGCTTTCTCATTTTCTATTGCTGAATCTAAATTCAGATTATCAATTACCCTCTGGTTATTTAACATGGCCATGGAAAATCACCATTTTTTAATAGGTAAACCATCTATAAATGAGCCATTTTCCATGGCTATGTTAAATAACCAGAGGGTAACCGTAATTAACCAAATTATGGTGTCTCTAATATGTGTTTGATCGTTGTTTTGGGCTGCCATCTTCTCCCAATGAGCCATGTAGCTGGCATTTGCCCTGGCATATGACCACCAAGAAGTCCAACATCAACCCCAACACTGGCCATGTTTGTTTGGAAAATTGTCCCGTGGTTTATCAGTTTGCCCATTCAAATTGCTTTTTGTTGGCATCATAACAGTATTACCCCATTCTTGGAAACAAATCCATGAATCGTTGAAATTCACATGTGCAATGGTAAAATCCAACGAACAATCCCCATAATGATTCTGTTAAAAAAAAAACAAGTCCAATGAACAATCCCAGTAGTGACTCTTTAAGAAATTCTCCATTCCCGTAGATCAACACTGCGCCAACGCCCAGTCACAGTGTTCCGCCAAATGTCGCTTGGTGGCACAGCCCAGACGAGCAGCTACAAGTTGCCTCAAGGGATGTCACTGATGTCACAGTTCCAATGTGGCCCCCCCAATGATGTTTCTTGGTTGATAAACTCCATCAACTATTGTTATAAGTGTTTAAAACCGTAGTTGTTGGAATTATAAACCAACTTAGCTATCTAGGGGGGTCCACATTGTATGTAGCTATACCACTTGCATAATATGTGAAATTGTGGTTATTTGAAGGATCCAATTATGTGAATGTTTGGTTGTTAGAAGGATACAATTGTGTGCATAAGTCTTAAATAAGCTGCAATAAATGTATAATCTAATAGTTTGTTTCGGTCTTGAAAGGAGTAAAATCAGACTAGAAGATTGAAGAGTGATAAAATGTACTAGGAAAGTAGTAAGTATAAGAAGTACAAGTTGTCTAGAAGGATTTCACTAATTTCTATCTTTTGGATGTGTTCATACGTGGATGATAAACAAGTGTAAGCCTGCGATAATGGACCTTTTCTATACCCCGAGTAATGGATTGCAACATATTGCAACCCATATTCCCACACATGGCAATTTGGGGGGATACCTCATCTGGTTGTTGGTTTTAACCATCTTGAAAAATATTAAAGTCAATATGGGAAGGATTATTCCCAACTGAATGGAAAGTCATAATATTCAGGTTCCAAACCATCAACCAGATATATTGTTATTCCAATTATTAACCATTATTAACCATAGATTTACCGATTTACAATGAAAAAATGTTCCAAACCACCAACCGTTGTCATTTTCAGACACACGAGCCTGTGCTGAAAAAACCCAAACTTCGGCCCGCCGAATGATTCACGTCCAAGACACATCCCTAAGCCCACAGCAGTAGAAGCGAAGAGAGCCCAAAGCAGAGAATATCCTGTGCGCAAAGCCAGGGTTGTGAAAAAAATGTCCGCATAAAACTGAGGAAGAAATGATAAAATTATATGATATACTAACCAACAAACAGTGGGCCACTGGTCGGAGCTTTTATCCTCTCAACAAAATATTGTTTTTTTGGATAGACAAAGAGAATACAATATTTCCAGCGGCCAAGCAAATGTTGCATTTTTGGACATGGTATTACCCCCGTAAGTGGCACACAAAGTAGGTTTGTCTAGTCTTGAGGTTCGAGCAGCAAGGATGGGCATCACATCTTTGATTCATGTTGATTCAATTTTGTGAAAGGAAAGGCTCTGTTGGTACGTTGTATGCCATGGCCTACACGTGTGTGGATCTGTCCCAAAAAATGTGGCTCTCCAAATTGTCCACTTGCCGATTTCAGCAAGACACCCATTTACATACAAATGGATCACACTTGTCCATGAACCTAGATGATTGTCGTCTTTAGCAGTCCGGAAACATGACCCATGCACAGAACAACACAACTCTTGTCAAGTAGGCATTTTCTGCCCAGCACTCCCTGTCAACCATCTGGGCAAACACATTGAAGATCGTCACTTTATGGACATGTTCCCTACTAGCCATATGTTCATATATCTTCCGAGGTGAGTCGGTCAGTCACTCTACAGTTTGTCCACATTTCTATAACCCCAGAAGTCACAGTTGTGGATGATTTGACATGTCTCCATAGCCCAAAGCAACCAACAAAGAAAACAGAATTGTTGGAATTCCAACCCATCAACTCTCACATAAGCCCAAAAATGGAGTAGCCAGAACTCACATGTCAATCCAAGTAGGGGCTTAATCACCACTCTGTTCACAAACCATAAGATCTATCAGTCTGCCAACGTCCCCCGTGATGGTCCAATGCGTCGCGGTGTTCATCAAGAGTTCCCGTCTTGGAGGATTCCACCATGATATGTTCACATACCCATGACGGATCCGGCTGGTGCTGGTATATTAATGCCAACATCAAGGGGGTATATTGATGGGATCCATGGCACACCATATATTTACCATATATAGCAGCACCATGGATCCTATGGGATATGTTCCTGATATGTTCGATCCAGCTTTCGGGGTGATCCCCCGCAGTTTTCTGCGTTGTGCGTCGGGAAAAATCAGCCCCATGAAAACTATAGATATATTTACAATAAATCATCATCAATATACATATAATACATAAATGTATAAATAACGGTAGAAATATTGACATCTCATCATTAACCATGAATCATCATCATGAAACAATCTACCATAGATATGTCTACTATAAATCCACATCAAATTAACATCATTAATTGGCATTGGGCTTCCCACATTAATATGGGATAATATAGAAACATATTAATTACATCTTAATCAACTTATATAATTATATATATATATAAGTATACCATAAATCCCACACATAGTTGTTAATCTAGATCCACATTATCATGAAAAAGCCAGCAAAAAATGTGAAAATCCACATTTTGATACCATGGCTTTGCTTAAGGAACCACCAAAAAATAAAACATATTCCCTATAGATTCCCCAAGTATTGGATTTCCCGCTGGAGAAAATAACAAATCATCTTCAGCAAATCCAAGAGACATGTTGGGTCCCTATAGATTCCCCAAGTATTGGATTTCCCGCTGGAGAAAATAACAAATCATCTTCAGCAAATCCAAGAGACATGTTGGGTTAAAAAAAAACGCTTATACATATAATTGTATATAATTATACCATAAATCCCACACATAGTTGTTAATCTAGATCCACAACCATGCAAAACCCAGCAAACAATGTGAAGATCCACATTTTGCTATTGGAACTCCAAAAATCCCACCGCGCCAAACTGCCAAGGCGCCGAACTGTGCTCCGATTTGCAGGTCCGCCTCCAAGTTCCCAGGGTCAACGTAAGCAATGCCTGAGCTGCGGATGGGGATGAGACCCTTATGTGGTCAAGCCATATGTAGTCCATATGAAACCAACCAGATTAATGGTGATTAATGGTGATTTAATGATGGTTAATGATGATTAATGATGCTTATATAATAATGGCTGGTTGGTGGTTTGAACCTACCCCTCTGAAAAATGATGGAGTTCGTCAGCTGGGATTATGACATTACCAATATATGGAAAAACATAAAATTCCATGGTTCCAAACCACCAACTAGATATATAACTGGGAATGGTCCATAACTGGGACATGATCCACTTACAAACACTTATATCCACCAAAAAAAACTGGGACATGTTTTTAAACACTTACGTCCACTTTTCCAAGTGGGATGCACTTCCAAGACCATCCAAGTACAAAGTCGAATCAAAGGAACAGTAGTTTCAACACCTTTGCAAACCGATGAGTCAAACCTTGGTACCCAAGGTACCTTGGTACCCAAGGTACCTTGGTACCATAGTTGGTTTATGAATGTTTATTCACCCACATATGGTAGTAACAGGTACAGTAACAGGTTTTGACCCATCCACATATATCGAAGCATCGAATAGTTTTTCAGTAGCAACCAACACCTGTTATCTTTGTTAGCCATGTTGGTTCAGTTCACGTTTGGTGAATTCTATGGTTTATGGTAAATATATGCATAGTTCGATGGGTTTCAGACTCAACTTGTAACATCTTACAAGATCTTAAACCAACGTATCTTATCTGGTTGGTGGTTTTAACCATCTTGAAAAATATGAGTCAGTCATGAAAAATGATTATCCCACATATGAAATGGAAAATAAAATTCATGTTCCAAACCACCAACCAGTTATCTATGTCTACAATGAGGTACATTACCCTCTGGTAAACTAACATAACTATGGAACATCACCATTTTCAATGGGTAAATTCCAGTATAAATGGCCAATTTAAATAGCTATGCAACAAATTACCAGAGGGTATCAACCAACAAACATGTCATTTCGGTGTTCCAAACCACCAACAAACCGACGAAACGAAGATGCTCATCAACCAGCCAGGACCTGTGAAGGCCAGAAGTCGCTTCAACCAAGATGTCCTGAGAGCCGAAGATGTCGTCATGCTGACGACTTAAGATGGCTATGATATATTATGATGTATATATTAAAAGGCCAAGATTGCTGACTTTAAGATGGTTATGATACCAAGATGATTGTTCAAAAGGCCTTGCTATCTATGATATATTATGGCTATCTATGATGTGTATTAACTGTATTAAACATATTAATCTGGGTAAATGAAATCATATTTCACTCACCTGAATTGTTCGGCCATTTGGGGATAATTTCCCTTACTAACCATGATTTCCAGTGAGGGAGAACAGTGAGGTCGTGATTAAATTTACCCAGATATATGATCCATAGATTCACCATTATTAACCATTATTAACCATAGATTCACCATAGATTCACCATAGATTCACCATAATTAACCATACATGCAGTCATCCTGGCTCAAGCTCAACCCTCACCAAAATGGGAAGATGGGACGATGGATCCGTGGTAAACATGAAACATGTCAGATCCGATGCACAGTGAAGGACACTGTGCATCTTGCAAAAAAAAAGCGCTTAAACCATGTTGTTGGTTGTACAGTATATATCCATGTATATCCATGTATATCCGATGATATTTCCATTATATACACACTTTTGTTGCTCAAACCACCAAATTGAAGCCAATTGAAAGAGAAATACCACACACACCTTGGAAGGTGGCCTCCCTCTTAAAAGGTCCATGTATCTAGAGCAATCAGAGTATGATGGACAGGTCGTTTTCTAGAAGTTCTGCAATAGGGGATGATACTATGATCGATATAATGGTTTCATATACCCTCTAGTTATTTAACATAGCTATGGAAAATGGTCCATTTATAGATGATTTTCCAGCTATAAACTTCAATTTATAGTGGATTTTCCATGGCTATATTAAATACCCAAAGGGTAGATGTGCTATATATATAATGCTATATATTCAGGTATATAATATGATGACATACGTTTCAAACGTATGAAATATCTGAAATACGACATCTCTAATCTATAGCAGTTCCTCATTCTCTGCTGACAAAAAAACATATCAGAAGCTTTCCAGCAATCTCTTCGCTGATTCCATATGCCATATGAGCCGTGTTCGAAAGGTCGTGTTTTTCTGAAGGCGCTAAGGGAATGCTTACGCCGGAGCTTATGAGCTGCTTACGTGCCCACGTGAGCCCATGGTGACGCGGGCTTATGCACACCAGGGTTTGGCTTACGCGAGGTCCTTATTGCCTCTTCCTTAATAAAAATTAACAACTGGGTGTTGAAAGTGGCTCATGTGTGTCCCTCAAGGATTTTTACCCAAACCTGGGACCTCAAGCCCGGGCGCTCAGGATATGCCCATGATCAGTGGTACCCTTCACATATGCCGCACACATCCATGGAACCTGCAAAAATGGAAGGTCATTTTTTCGCCTGAACTCCTGACTGCGTTTTCTATGGAGGTTTCCTAAAGTGGGGGTACCCCTAACTCATCCATATTTTCAAAGGGTTTTCCATGAAATAAAGATAAATAAACCATCCAGCGAGCTTGGGGATCCCACATTTATGGAAACCTCCAAATGTGTTCAATATCAACCACCAAGGTGATACACAATCAAGCTCTTAAGTCTTCATCATTATTTCCACAGCCAAATAGCACGAGAAAATTATCCTACAGGAAAGGCCAGCCCCAGTTCTGAATTGGTTTATATTGCTTTATATTGGTTTACAACTAGTTCGATATATCACCTAAAAACATCTATAAACCATAGTTTTTGAAGTTATTTCAACCAACTTAGCTATCTTTTTTTAGCCCCCACATTGTAGCCTTACTGAAAAGGGTCACCCGGGAGCCAACGGAATTCTCCTTGGAGCCAAGGTACCAGGACAACTCTAAGACCTTGTCCACCTGGGAAGGTCGGGGAAAAGCAAGTAAATCATTGGATTTGATTCCCAAAGAAACTTCTGGTTGGTGGTATCTCAATATATCATGATAATCCTATATAATATATATTCTGGTGATAATTATAATCCAAATATTATATAAGATGATGATAATAATCCAAATATTATTACTGGTTGGTGGTTTGAACCTACCCCTCTGAAATATATTATATGACTTCGTCAGTTGGGATGATGACATTCCCATAACTCAATGGAAAGTCATAAAATTAATGTTCCAAACTCCAAACCACCAACCGGAACTTGCTTTTACCTGTTTTACTACCACTCATCGCAGGGAACATCCTAGATTTACTTTTTCCTTTCAACAGCATTCTGGGAGCTAATGAAGTGCATCTTCCAACATCTTCCAAACTTATATATATATAGGTTAACCAAAGGCTATCTGAAGGCTATCTTCCATGCATCTTTTCACCATCCGTCTTCATATAATTTCATATATACATCTATGGTATCTTCAAGGGCGATATACCGCCCATCCCAACTGGCTGCCATTGATTCACCGTCGCGGAAAAAAACCACCAGTGTAAAACACAGACCCAAATCACGCTCTCACTTGCCCAGTCAATCCCACGAAATCCCTAAACAAAAAACAAGTTACCCAGTAAAAATGGAGGTGTTTTACTCTATAAATCTTTGTACTTCAACCATTTTTTGTTGGGAAAGGGGTAGTTGGAAGGTCTAGGTACCCTCTGGTGATGACTGTTACAGTTTGCGACACAGAACATGGCTCATAGAAATAGTTGATTTACCTATTCAAGATTGTGTTTTTCCATCGTTTTCTGTATGTTTACCAGAGGGTATATACTGGGGGACTGTATGTTTACCAGAGGATATATACCATGTTTATAGCATATGACTGGGGGACTGTATGTTTACCAGAGGGTATATACCATGTTTATAGCATATGACTGGGGGAATAAACATCATAAAAATCCAGCTATACCAGCGATGACTTTGGGTACCAGCTATTTTCAATAGCTATATTTTCTATATACCAGCTACTTTCATAGCTATTAGTTAATTTACCTATTAGTTAAATTTCCCATTAGGTGATGTTCCTATAAATTTAAATAATTTACCTAACTATTAGTTACTATAGTTGATTTACCTATCTTATCAGTTACAGTATGTTAGTTCATTTGTAGTTTACCCATTAAAGATGGTGATTTTCCATAGCAAACTGTGAGTTTACCAGAGGCTATATGACTTCGCGAGCGCGAAGCCACGGTGGAAAGCCTGCGCACCAAGTGACACCGCCTTTGTCCTCGCCCAAGCAGAGGGGCCGTGCCAGTTCCGGTTTGCAGATCGACAGCCTTGGCGATCGGGGAAGCGGAATGATGCGGAATGAACAATGGCGATTTTCCCGAGGGAAAATGAGGATTTACCTGGGGAAAATGATGATTTTATGGGATTGAACTATAGGAAAAATGGTGATTTCAAGTATAGAAATTGTGATTTCATGGGATATCCCGTTTACCGATAGCTCGGTGAACATCAAGCCCCATGAAAACTAGATCAAATATCCCCAACAACCCCTGTTAACCAATGATGTGCCCCACCTTGTCGGTTATAGTGGCCCCTATGTTTGTTGGAGTTGACTTTTCGACCTTTTCTCCAGCGGAGTGCTGAAAGAAAGGGAAGAACCAACAAATATCATCAAATATCATCATATACCATTCAGATACTATATCATACTATATCAGCTATATCACCAACCACTATACATCAAATATCAAATACCATTCAGGGTTACCCTCTGGTAAACAGCCACATAACTATGGAAAGATCCACCATGCTATTCATGGGAAAATCCGCTATTTCGATTGGGCCATTTTCAAGTTCGCAAACTGTTACCAGAGGGTATGTGTCAAAGGTAATTATCAGTTTATCATCCCAAGTGAATGGATAACACAAACTCTTAGTTTACCAGGCCGGGTTACCACTAAATATCATCAAATATCATCATATACCATTCAGATACTATATCACCAACCACTATAATAGTGGATTTTCCCATGAATAGCATGGTGATTTTCCATAGTTATGTGGCTGTCCACTATACATCAAATATCAAATACTAAATTCAGGGTTACCTCCAGATATCTCACCGCGATTTCTATGGCACCGATATGCACCGATACCAGGCACCGACACCAAGCCGCGGTGTGGAGGGATGCGACTCCGGCGGTTTCAAGAGCCCAAAGGAATTCAACGCCACGGGGGTCGGCTCGCGGGAGCCTTGACCTCGGCGATTTCGGGCGAAATTTTAGGCCATAACCAAGGTGGTGCCCCCCCAAGTTATCAATGGGTTAGAATCCATATAAATCCTATAGTTTAAAGCATAGCTATAGCTCGAAGTTTACTAAGAAACTGGGGCACCACAAAGCTACAGGATGGTGCCCCCCAGTTATGTTTGTTGGTTTATAAACCCCATTAACTAGTTCGATATATCACCAACAAAAACCAACACGTGAAATTGGACTTATGTTCACCAACTTAGCGATTCCGAACTGGGGCACCACCCTGTAGGATTAGCGATTCCTGGTGAACTCTCCAATAATCATTGGGATATATATGGGATATAATTGGGTATAGCTAAGAATTATAATCCATTATATCCAATTAGATATAACAATCATAGATTAATGTTTTCCTATTACAATCATAGAAAACCATCAACCCCACTTTGTAATAATCTAATTATTCATGAACTACTAATTACTATCTTGAAAACCATCATGTACTACTTAGATGGGCCATAGGATTAGCTAACTGGTTAATACCTGGGGCTATATATATCCCAATTTGTTTATCAATTTACTAACTAGTTAACTAACTCCATGGCCCATCTAAGTGCAGCAGTACCAATTTGAGGACTGGGCCCCGAAAACTTTGCAATGCGAAGTTAGGTTCACTCAACCAGAACAACGGTGATTTCAATATCTTGGGATTTACTTAGCTAACTTGGGTTATATCTGGGCAAACGAGGAAGGACTTCTGGTGTTTGTAATCACGCTAGCGGGGTTATAAACTATCCAAAATGATCTGCTCCAGGGGTCGGATGGGAATTTCTGGCAAACAATAGCCTGACAGCTTGTGAATACCGGAGAATATGTGTGATAATTTTAAGTGAAATATTGCGAGTGCCCATTTACAATCATTTTAGCACATACATAGTGCATGTATATATAGTGCATGTAATATCTATTACTATATATATATATATCTGGCCAAATTACTTTAATTCTTACCTCGTCTCCCTCGTGTCTTAATTTGTTCCCCATGATTACTGTCCTCGTTCGTTAATTTGCAGGTGCAAATTAAGGCTTTACCTCGTTAATTCGAAGGAAGAAAGTAGCTTGTGGGCCTTCTTTCCAGGGTCCAACCCCAAGGAAAAAAACTTTTCAGCTTCCGAAAAGTTTTTTTCCACGATCCACGGTCTCTTGCAGGGATTTTTAAATCTGAGTCTGATCGGTCTTTGCGCTTCTTGCGCTTGGGTGGTGACATCTCTGACATTATCGCAGAGATGCAATGCTCTTCTGGAGCAACTCTGAATCCTACTGCTTCTGCAGCCGTCAACCCACGAAGCGGGCCTCTGGCGATAGAAAATAAAACTTTTTGGGGCCTGAAAAGTTTTTTTTCCTTCCTTGCCTGCTGACCGGCCTCTGGCGATAGAAAATAAAACTTTTTGGGGCCTGAAAAGTTTTTTTTTCCTTCCTTGCCTGCTGACTGGCCTCTGGCGATAGAAAATAAAACTTTTTGGGGCCTGAAAAGTTTTTTTTTCCTTCCTTGCCTGCTGACCGGCCTCTGGCGATAGAAAATAAAACTTTTTGGGGCCTGAAAAGTTTTTTTCCTTCCTTGCCTGCTGACCGGCCTCTGGCGATAGAAAATAAAACTTTTTGGGGCCTGAAAAGTTGTTTTTCCTTCCTTGCCTGCTGACCGGCCTCTGGCGATAGAAAATAAAACTTTTTGGGGCCTGAAAAGTTGTTTTTCCTTCCTTGCCTGCTGACCGGCCTCTGGCGATAGAAAATAAAACTTTTTGGGGCCTGAAAAGTTTTTTTTCCTTCCTTGCCTGCTGACCGGCCTCTGGCGATAGAAAATAAAACTTTTTGGGGCCTGAAAAGTTTTTTTTCCTTCCTTGCCTGCTGACCGGCCTCTGGCGATAGAAAATAAAACTTTTTGGGGCCTGAAAAGTTTTTTTTCCTTCCTTGCCTGCTGACCGGCCTCTGGCGATAGAAAATAAAACTTTTTGGGGCCTGAAAAGTTTTTTTTCCTTCCTTGCCTGCTGACCGGCCTCTGGCGATAGAAAATAAAACTTTTTGGGGCCTGAAAAGTTTTTTTTCCTTCCTTGCCTGCTGACCGGCCTCTGGCGATAGAAAATAAAACTTTTTGGGGCCTGAAAAGTTTTTTTTCCTTCCTTGCCTGCTGACCGGCCTCTGGCGATAGAAAATAAAACTTTTTGGGGCCTGAAAGTTTTTTTCCTTCCTTGCCTGCTGACCGGCCTCTGGCCCCCAAAAAAGTTTTTCTAGCCAAGCCCAAGCATGCAACAGAACCAATGCAAGGCTACCTCGTCGAGGTCGGCTAATTCTGATGAGCAAATTAAGGGCTGACCTCGCTAATTCCTGCAACCTGCCTCGTTGCCTCGGCTGTCCTCGCTATAATTTGTGCAGATATATAGTGCATGTATATATTTGCTTACTTGGTGGTTCATGCCAAGTAGGTTAGTGCACCTCAGCCTAATTACTTTGCCCATTTGAAAATTTGAAACCAGGATTTTGGAAAACAAGAAATCAGTTCTGTTGCCCACAGGCTTGTTTCAACTTGTTTCTCCCAACTGGGGTGTGCATTCCACTTGGTAAATGGTATATACCGTATATCCCCAGCTATATGGAATATCGTCACTTCTATATGGGATGAAATATGGGTTATATGTATATATATATATATTATAAAGCACTTACGATTCTGGAATGCACATCCAAGTGGGGTGTTCAAACAGCAAAACCATTGGCAGTAATGTAATCGAACATACACCTGGCACTTAGAACTGGAATCGAACACATTTCAACATACATAGTCACCATGTTTCATCCTAAGTTTCATCCTAAGTTTCTCCGTTTCGACCAACAACACAGGGTCGGCTTCTGACGTTTCTGTTTCACCCAAGTCACGCACAAAGTTGTTCGGACCGTCCACCGAATCCCCGTTGCCGTTGCCGCAAGGGCTGGTGCCTGGGATTTCGCGATTGGATGAATGGGAAAATCTCTAGATGTCTCAAGTCGGGTGATCATGGGGGGATCAACCAACTATGATCATCTATGGTATGATTTAATAGGGGATTTTAATGGTAATAATATGGAATCTAATAGGGATTTAATGATCAATATGTGACGATCTGTTTTTTTTTCACCATCTTTCTCAAATGAAATGCATGGAATGCGTATGTAATATTTACCTATACATTTACACCCCAAAAAAAACACAGATGTCAGAAAATATTCCATATACATGGAGCATCTGGGTTTCATTTTGGAATTCCGTCATTTTGGATCGTATTTTGTGATAGCTTTGCAACTTTGTCAATCACTTGCACCTTTTTGATCCCTTTTTGTGGATTGGGTTTCCCACACTATATATGGGATATCTCTTAACTACACATCTTAACTATAGATATATTTACCATAAACCCAACTAAATCGCATTTATCTAGCCCGATTATTGTATGCATGATTAATACTAAAACTATAGTGGGTCAAGTAAACCCTCCAAAGAAGTCCAAGCCACACGCGGTCAGCACCGGAGGTCGTGGACGTGACGCTTGCGACGGTGGCGCATGTCGCGCATCTACCAGCGTGTCTCGCTCCATTGGCGAGAGAAGCTGACTCAAAATCGTTAGGCCCACGGGGGGCCTTATAAAAAAAAAAAGTGGGTAACATTTTTGACCAAAAACTAGAAAAAACTCAAGGTCTATCCCATTCTTCTCTATCATGTGCTTGGGAATCTCTAAGTAGCTCCAACTGGCTTTCCATTTATCTTTGGGAATATGAATACACTGGACCACTCCGAACCGCTGCCTCCGTTCACCAATGATTTGGTCATTTGGGTTTGTTGGTTCCAAATCTGGAGAGTGAACATTGCCTGCTTTCTAGCCGGTAAATGCCAGAAAACTCACTCAGACCTCGAATAGAATTGCCAACATCTCGATTCTTAACCTCATTGTCCACTGGCTAGGTCACTCTGGTGGCCACAGGCTCTCAATCCTCTCAGTCTCTTTCTGGATTAGGGATGATTACAGTTGGATTTCCAGCGTTTCTGGGGGGGTGCTTTGCCGAGCTGTTTTGCGAGCTGACTTGCGAGCCGTCTACCCCCCGATCTTTTTCCAAGTTGAACCGAAAGGTCTGCATTGATCAACCTTTGTGACAAGGGGATGGACTGGAAACTACTGTACCTCGTGGTTCACCCTAGGAATCAGAAGTGGTTCATGATTCCAGTTATAAGTAGGGCAAGTAGGGATAGTCCAGTTACAACTGGTGCTATAATCGGCTTACTGACTGGGATGAACCACAAAGTTCCTTGTCTGTCATGAAAGAAACTGCCAAACTGGCAGAGCCAGCCTCTCTGACCGGAACAGGAAGGGTCGTCATTGTGGGTTCAATGCCATCGTAAGGTCAACCCCGGATTGATCAACCTGGTTGACGAATGGTGGAATGAAACCTGAACTGGTTGGTGGTTTTAACCCTCTTGAAAAATATGAAAGTCAATGGGAAGAATTATCCCATATATGAAATGGAAAATAAACAATGATTGAAACCACCAACCAGTGAAAAGTAATGTTCTACTGTACTCTTCTGACAGGATCTGCCAATGAAAACTATCAGAGGCTATGCATCCGGGTTGACATCAGAGATGTTCACAGTGCCGCAACATCAAAGTTCACAAAGTTTACAAACTACAGTATACAGCACATAAATCAATATCCACGATCAATCAACTGACAAGCATCTTCAAGAAGAAAGAACTTGTATAATATAAACTTGATATGGGTGTGGGTCAAAACGAACACAGAGATGCAGCCATGCTTATCTCGTTTTGAATCCAGAAGGAATATTGATCAAAACGTGATCACTTAGACTTGTGCCAATATGTTGCAAGAAAATGAGTAATAAACTCATACCTTGATCTTTGCTAAAAAGTCTGCACTTGGGCAAGCTGAATAGCAATGCATCCCCCACACTGAAGCCATCAACCACTGTTGGGTGGTCTCAAACCATCATAATTTCAATGCACCAACCAGACTAGTAGAACTGCAGCCCAAACCATGAAGCTGCTACTGATAGTTGGCATCTTTGGTCGATACGAAAAAAAAACACCACATTACCACTTTACCCGCCACTATTCAGGGGCAACCCCAACTTCACCCGTGATTTTTTTGTGTTGAAACATTCCTTTGGCTAAATAATACCGCCACTATTCAGGGGATGTTTTCAACATGAGTTACCCTCCTGCAAACGAACAGTTCGATGTGGAAAACCCACCATGAATGTAGATCATTTTCCGATGGGGTCTCACCATTGGTTTTCCACGAATCTATGTGAGTCTACCAGACCAGAGTGGGTAACCAAAGGGAGAAACCCCACGGCGTCTCCTCAAAGTCAAACCAAGAATGACGCTTGGAGGCGTAGAGGAGCTGTGCAGTTGACCTTTGAGGGAAACTCACCGCCAGGTTTTGTTACGATATCTGGGCAGTGTGTGATTTTCACCTCCATGTACATATACATATACATAACAAGTTTTTCTGTATGCAGTTGTGTATAATTATCTTTATATTAAAATATATAATTATGTATATTCATGTAAACATATATGTATATATGTTCTTTTCTTCTGTGTACACATATATGTATATATATATATATACACAATCAACACATCAGAAATGTTGGCCCATTTGGGTATGGCTTCTCCTACCATCATAAAAATGATGACCCCGGCCAGATTTGGGATGCTGGTCATGTGGGTCTCCAAGCTGGTGCCATGGCCATGGACGCCAAGCTGGTACAAGAATACTGGTTTCCTCGCGAAACAATGGTTTGTAGTTTGTAGTGTGTGTATAATCGGATCATCCACACAAAGTATGAACATCATAACATTTACAGTGTAGGTTTCACACATCCCTAAGGTGTGTAAGGGAGAATCTGGTATCCAAAGAACAGATTTAAGCCTCGGTTTCCCAAGTTCATCACAAGTTTGGTGGTAAGTCCACCATTTTCAGACATACCCAAATCCGTTATGATTGTTTCAATCCCGATTTTGGCTGGTTAAACTCCTAACTTCAAGCTGATTTTTCAATGAGAATCCCATAGATTCATTATGATTCATTCTTAAAGAACCATTATCCACTGGTTGAATTCCTATTGTTGGCCAATCCCATGTTCAACCCCAAAGCTAAGTCCGTACTTTCTATTCTCTATTATTTTCCAGAATACCCGCGTGGAGATTTCTCAGATTTCCGCTGCATAGATTCCGGGCTCCCCCACTGACCCCACTTCGGCAAGCGTGCCGCTTTGGCCTGTCTCTGGCCCTTGGGGATGTTTATACTGGTTGGTGGTATACCTACCCCTCTGAAAAATATGAGTTCGTCAGTTAGGAGTATTTTATTCCCATATATATTCAAAAATAAAAAAAAAGTTCCAAACCACCAACCAGTATAATAAATGTGGTTTATGAAAACATCATCTACATTGATCGATTTTCAGAGAATCTATGTGAGTTTGCCTCAGGGTGTCACTATCATTGATAAGGATGTCATCGTCAATATCGGCTATGGGCTTAGTCATCAATTTAATCTGGACTTCACCATCATAATCATGGTTTCTTTCCTTGGACTTGGTAAATTCTACAGGAAACTTAACCTGAACTATATCATTCATGGACTTATAGCAAACTTCTGGCTTCAATACTTATATACTTTGTTTCATCTATAAGAAACTTAACCTTAACGACAACTCATTAACCATGGTCTTGCTACTGGGTCCAAACGCAAGTACCCATCAACCTTAGATTTTATTGATGGGATGTAGGTTTGAACTGAACACAAAACGGGTACCTCAAATCCAGTCTTTTTCTCCATCAGAATTTCCATTTTGGGGTATACCCTGATTTCTGAAGACCCAAATCCATTATGTACTGTATTGTTTAAGTCCAAAATTTGGATGGTTAAAACACCATTTTGGCTGGGTTTACCAATATCTCACCAATTCAATTTAGTTTCTACAGATTTTGAATTTGATTTTCAGGATTATATGTTCCACATATAACCAATGTTTTATATCTCACCATATATTTCTACAGATTTTCCGTTGATTTTCCAAGTTCCATGGATTTTTCAAAGTTCTCAATGCTTCCCTCGCCTCTTCGGCGCTGAAGGCACGCGCATCTGCCAGGGAAGGGACTTGAGACTTCAGGAGCACCTGGCGCTGACGGTGCCCTCGGGGTGCCAGGAGTCCGGGTGAGCTGTGGAAATTTTCACTGCTGAGTCGGGTGACTCTACAGCTCACCATGTTTTGATGATGTTTGATTGGAGGGTATAGCCACTATAACCACTATAACCACCGCAATGCGCACACTACACTACACACTGGATTCACTGGATGCTCCCTGCCAGGCTGCCCTCTGCTATCTTCAACCTCAAAACTAGGATTTAAATCTTCCATTTCCATTTCTGTTCAGCAAGAATTCCCTAAACATGTCAGAGACCCTCTAGTAAATTCACACTTTGCTACAGAACATCTCGCCATTGCCAGCAGGAAGCCGAGCAGGAACCCGTTGCGGATGCTCCAGCAATCCTCGCGAGCAGCACCAGTCCTTCCTGTTCCACCTTCGCCAATCTCTTTCGCAACTTTGCAGCCTCGGAGCCGCCCATTCCATGGGGATTCCATACGGCAACAAAACGAGGATTTCACGCATCAGCGTGTAGAAACTGTATGGGGATCACAATGAATATTCAATGGTGATGTACCCTCTGGTAAACATACGAAAAACTAGGGAAAGATCCACCATGCTATTAATGGCTAAATCCACTATTTCTATGGGTCATTTTCAAGTTCGCACGATGTAACAAATTACCAGAGGGTATCCATCCATTTATCCATTTGGTTTCACCAGGCTTGTCTATTCAAGACCATTTTCCCATGATATGGAGACTTCCAAACTGTAACAAATTACCGGAGGGTAATGGGAATTAAATCTGCTAACGGGGACATGAAGCATCCCACTGGGATGCCAACTATGATCCTTGGCTGGTCATCCTTGAACGGTCATATCCCATGTCTTTGGGGGCAAAAAAACTGGGAATATGAATTATGATGTACATAGATACATTCTCTCTTTACGCTTATACGTTATATTATATTGGTATATTGTTATATACATATATCATATATATATATGTATATATATGCATGGAGTGTAATTAATCATCGAAGGAAGTTTAGAAGTCAAACTTCCGACAATATGGAGAGATGAAAAGCAGAGCAGGGAAGAGGCATAGAGAAGAGAAAGATTAGAAGAAAGAAGAGTAGAAGAGAAAGAGTAAGAAGACAGAAGATGCAGATGCGCGAAAAGGTAGGAAAGTCGCGAAACACTGTGTTTTTTCCAATGATTTGTGGCTCCGGAGGGTCGAAAAGTAGGCTCGCTAAAGCGGCGGGTGCGGAGCCCGCTGGCCACAGGAGCGATGAAAAATTGCACGCCGTTGTGGCGCGAAGCACATTTCCAAGTCAAAATGTGCAAAACACCTCAGCTCCGGACCACTTTTGGAAGTTGAGATGTCGAAAAAGTGCACGCCGTTGTGGCGCGAAGCACATTTCCAAGTCAAAAGTGTTAAAAACTGACAGTCTCGGACCACTTTTGGAA